ATCTGCAATCTACACTTGAACTTAGAGATTCCTGCCGCTGTCATGTGATTCAGTATGATCATCAAGCTCAGTCTCGACTCTGTGAATTCCTAGAGAGTATTCTAAAGTGTTCTGTAAATTCATTGGGAAATGGTTTTTTGGGGACCTCTGCTACTACCAGAAGTTGTCTGCACCAGACCAGGGCCTGTGCTGCTAGCATAAACCAACTGAGCCTCACCAGGGCCTGCACTGCTGGCTGGACCCATAGGCATCACATAAGGGCCTGTACTGCTGGCTGGACCCATAGGCACCACACCAGGGCCTGTGCTGCTGGCTGGACCCATAGGCATCACATCAGGGCCTGTACTGCTGGCTGGATCCCTAGGCACCACACCAGGGCCTGTGTTGCTGGCTGGGGCAGTCTGCATCACACCAGGGCCTTTGCTGCCGGCTAAACCAACTGCATCTGTGTTGCTAGTGGAAGACATCAGCACCACACCAAGGCCTGTGTTTCTAGAAAAGCTCATCTGCAATACATCGGGTACTGTGCTGTTGATTGAAGCCGTCTACACCACATTGGTAAATGTGCTAGCAGAAGCCCACTGCTAGCAAGCCACCAGAACCCGAACTTCTGGCTGGAGCCTTACTTGCCATCCTAGGTTTGTGCAGCCTATTTAATTCAGCATCAACAATCATTGTGTGTTTTGGATAATGGCTTTTTTAAATAACTTCACTTTGCTTATTGGCTGTGGGGGGCCTTTGGACACTCAAATTCTCTAAGATGAGAACATTAAACAGTGTCCCCACTCTGCGAGACATGGCAGATCTACATGCGTCACTGCTGCTATACATCCTGTACAATTTCCAATGTATTTGAAACAGGACATTTATTTATCATTTGAACTACAGAAAGATTTACCTCATCTTCAAAACCTTCTTGCTTTGTAAAATTACAAAATTAATTATGAAAAATCCTGCTTTGTTTCAACATTTCACAAGTCAAAATCAATAAGTAATGTTACAAATCATAGACTTCTGATCGTCTTACAACTGCTCTAATCTGGTAATGTACAACCTAACCCAGGCCCTGAGCTGCAATGTAGTCAGACACCATCTGAATTTAAATCCTAAATTGAGCTGAAGATAGTTCATCTTAATGTGCGCAGCTTGTTATCCAAGGTGGATATTATCAACCACTTCTATTTATCATTTACGTAAACAATCTTAGTCTAAATGTGCCAGATGCAAACTTGCACTTCTATGCTGATGATACTGTTATTTACAGCTGTGGTTCAACTCTTGTCCAAGCCATTGACTCCTTGCAGAAAGCCTTTTTTGCTGTCCAGCACTCATTACTTCTGCTTAAACTTGTTCTCAACGCAGACAAAACAAAGCTCATGCTGTTTTCTAAATCAAGGAATTTGGCCCAAATAATCCCATTAGTAACCACTCTTGAAGGTAATAAAACAAGAGATGGTTCACATATATAAATATCTGGGAATCTTAATTGATGACTTGCTCACCTTCAAACCACATGTAGAGAATCTTGTGGAAAAACCTGAAGTTAAAACTGAGATTTTACTTTCAAAATAAGTTGTGTTTCTCAAAGAAGCTGCTTGTTGCTGCAACATTCTTGCCTGTGCTGGATTATGGTGATATTCTATATATGAATGCTTCTGCTCAATGTCTTTGAATGGTTGATTCTGTGTATCATGCTTCTCTGAGGTTCATCACTAACCATAAATTTCAGACTCGCCATTGTGAGTTATACTCTCAGGTAGGATGACCTGCTTTGTTAAGTCGGAGGAACTCTCAATTATACAGTTTTATATATAAGGCAATACTTGGGTTGCTGCCTTCTTATATATGTTCCCTGCTTGCAATGAAACATGCTGGTCGGTATTCTCTTTGTGCGCATGGTTACTTGTTGCGTTCTGCTCTATTTGCCCAAACTGAACTTGGTAAAAAAGCTTTTGTCCATTTAGCACCCTCGGCTTGGAACAAACTGCAGAAGGACTGGAAGATGACTGAATTCATTGCATTTAGTGCTTTTAAATCTAAACTACGAATCATTGAGCCCAAGTCCATAACATGAAACTGTTTCAATTAGATTGACTGTCATTTTAACTGACTTTTTATTTTTTTAATTGAATTTTATTTTATTTGTAGTCTTTCACTTATTGTTGCATGTGTTTGAGTAACCTCTGTAAATGTGAGACAACTGCTGCTGCCTATCTTGGCCAGGTCTCCCTTGAAAAAGAGGTTTTTAACCTCAATGGGATCTTCCTGGTTAAATAAAGGTTAATAAATAAATTGATGAAAAAAGTCAACTCTTCATTAATTATATTTTAAATTCAACTTACCTTATACTTTTTACAATATAGTATAAAATGCATATTGTTTCTTTAAAAACTAATACACTATTAAAACTGCAGAATGCACAATTCCAGCTTCATTTAGTAATTCAATTAGTAGATAAAAGTGAGTAATTAAGTCATTTAATTAACTAAGCAACTGTAAATATCACAGTATGCAGCAGTACAATTCAATTTCAATTCAATTTTATTTATATAGCGTCAAATAACAAACAAAGTCACCTCAAGGCGCTTAATAGGTACCGAGAAAAACCCAATCATGTGACCACCTATGAGCAAGCACTTTGGCGACAGTGGGAAGGAAAAACTCCCTTTTAACAGGAAGTATATATATACAGGAGCTTTTTTACCTATTACAAATTGTAAACTATATATATATATATATATATATATATATATATATATATATATATATATATATATATATATATATATATATATATATATATATATATATATATATATATATATCTGACCAAGGCCTGCTCGCTGTCCCTCGGTCTAGGTGTCGTACCCGTGGGGACCGGGCTTTCTCAGTCCTAGCACCGTCACTCTGGAACCAGTTGCCACCCTCAGTTAGGCTGTCCCCTTCTCTGCCAGTCTTTAAGAATCACCTAAAAACACACCTCCTCCGCTTGGCGTTTCCAGAACATGTTTGATTTTGGCCCTCTTTTATGTTGAATCCATTCCACAGTTTTCATTGGTACACTCAATCCATCCACTCAATCCAAATGTGTTTCACACATTTGTCCTTTACCAGAATGTTTCATCTATCTTGTAATTTCCATTTTGTATTTTGTAATTTGTATTTTGTAATTTGAATTTCTTTTATTGTTGATTTATTCAATATATTTACATACAACTGTACAATGTTCAGCGCTTTGGGCTTCCTGACAGGGTTGTGGAAGGCGCTTTATAAATAAAGCTTTGATTGATTGATATATATATATATATATATATATATATATATATATATATATATATATATATATATATAATAGTAATACAAACTGTATTAAAAAACTGTGTTACATGTGCAAGTATAAAGTATAATAGTAATACAAACTGTATTAAAAACTGTGTTACATGTGCAAGCAAAGTATAATAGTAATACAAACTGTATAAAAACTGTTACATGTGCAAGTATAAAGTATAATAGTAATACATAAAGTATAATAGTAATACAAACTGTATAAAAACTGTGTTACATGTGCAAGTATAAAGTATAATAGTAATACAAACTGTATAAAAAAATGGTTTGTTGCATGTGCAAGCAAAGTATAAAGTACAATAATAGTAATGCAAACAGTATTAAAAAACTGTTACCAGACTGTAATTTATGTTATAAAGATGAATGCTGGTCAGCCGGTTGAACTTCTTGTATACAACTATGTCGCCTTGAGCAGTCTCGATCTGCTGCCAAGTTAAACCAGCGGATAGCATGTTTACATATGTCGTGGTCAGTGGAACTGCGGGAGATGGGATTTTTTTTCTCATAGAATCTGCAATCACAAAAGCAGATTTAAATTTTAATCATCATCCATCACCACAATTTACTATTGTAACAGGACACAATCTCCACTAATATCTTTCTGTAAGCAGAAAATAATTTGTCAACTAAAGCTCTGAATAATATTTCTTCTTTTATTAGACCAGCTTAAGAAGTAGCTCTACAAGTTTATATTGACGCTGTGTAGCGTTTATAAAAAGTGAAACGCTGGAAACAGTACCTCAGTGTGTGAATAGCAAAGGTATGAACTGGCTGGTGGCAAGAGCTGTCGTAGTGGAGCACATATTGTTGACCCAGAAAAATGTGTGAACATTTTAAAATGGGTACTTACGCAGGAGCAGTGTTTTTGATGACATCTGGTTGAAAGACTTCTTCCCATTGACACCTTTCTGAAGCAGAGGCTGCTCACTTTATTTTATCTGGAAGTGACAAGCCTTGTTTAAAGGCCCAATGGATCAATGACTATAAAGGTATGTTATATGTTGTTCCTTATGGCTGCTGCATGAATATTACCGGAGCTGCAACTAATGTTTATTATAATATTTAGTAATATATAACAATTGTTTCAGTTTCCCTGAGGGAACCTCCCAAATTGATCAATAAAGTTATCTATCTAGATTAAAACTGTTTTACATTTCCATGTATTTGAAATTTATTGCAAAATATTTTAATTTTTTTTATTATTGGTATTTATTGTTTCAACTCATTTGTTGCGTCCATGAACATAAGCATCTAGATAATCCCCTCACAATTAAAACATTTTATGATTGTTTGTTCTGCATGTTTTGTCAGTGGCTGATCAGCTGCAGTAAACCTGATTTGGATTGTATTACTTAACACTACTTATTGAACATCTTGTATTAGGACATGGTGTATTTGCCTCTGAACCAATTGAAAAGGGATCCTTTGTAGTCGAGTACCATGGGGAGCTTATCTCAGAACATGAACGGGACAAGCGGCAGAAAAAGTACACAGAAAAGCAAACTGCTTTCCTATTTGATTTTAAATGGAAAAATAACACATGGTGGTAAGTAAAGGCATATACAATATCAGTTGTTCTTCACAACATTATGTTTTTAGTGAACAAATCATATGTTCTTTTCTTCACTTTTAGCATTGATGCCTCCCGTGAAGACGACTCACTTGGCCGGCTGGTTAATGATGACCACAAGTACCCAAACTGCAAGATGAAACAGCTGGCAGTCCAGTATAAACCTCATCTCTGCTTGTTTGCTATTGACAATATCCAAGCAGAGAGTGAAATCACCTATGACTATGGAGAATCTATGTGGCCACGGCGAGCTCTGGTAAGCAAATCCTCTTTACAGATTGTGCAGTACAAGAAATGTTAAATATTAGTAGATGAAAACATAGATGTTATTCTAGTTATGAAGACCAGAGTAGATCAGTGCTGGGTTTAGAGCTTTTATTAACAAAATTTGACATTTTTGTCCTTTTACACATGTTTTTGTCCATTTAACCTGAAGCTGATCAGTTTACATGATTGGATTTCTGGGGAAATACCGTAAATCCTCTAATACAGGCCGGTATTCAATTAAAAGCCGGGTCTCCAATTTTGGCCGGTGTCAAAGTCAGCGGAGGTAAATAATGGCCGGTCTCTTATTGTGGCCGGATGGAATGTGGTAAGAAGCAAGTACGAGCGCCCCAGCTGTAGGGTTATAGTCCCCAAATCAACCAGCAGAAGGCAGTAGGGGTTCACGCAGACCTTTATGAGGCTTTTTCTTCAGCTTTGAGACGCTACAGACACGATCCTCTATCACGCTCCTACCACACAGAGTCATGGTGTCAGTTAACCATGCTAATTCAACCCGCTCCACAGAACACACATCACCTTCTCTGTGGCTTACATAACACTCACACAACACGCAAATCAGCACATAGGAACTAGCAGAACGATAGGAAACACATATAACACAATACCCAGAATGCACCTGGCTTACAACCCCAGCCAGGTCATTACACTATCAAGTTCAAAGAGAACGTGCTGATTATGCTGCAGAACACTCTGGAGAGCAGCAGTAGGGGGTGTATGAACTACAGTAATCCCTCGTTTATCGCGGTAGATGCGTTCCAGACCTGGCCGCGATAGGTGAAAATCCGCGAAGTAGGGACTCCCAGCATGCCCCTCGCGGGGATTCCCTTCACGTCGCACCTACGTCACAAACCGCGGCTATAAACGGAAGTCGCTTTTCCAGCTCACCACTCAGTCATCGTTTCTTCAGATTCACGATCAGAGTTTCCAACCTACCAATCAATCCAACGAACTATCAGCTCATAGTAAGTTATCTTACTTACTTCTGGAAAGCCCGGCATTTCCGTGTCACTTCGTTGACGCTCGAACGCTCGGGGGTTTCCTAGAGCAGCCGGCGTTTCACCGACGCTATCACTTCCGCGTCTGTGAAACCACGCTCCCTATTGAATTATCGTATGATCACATTCTCTGTGATCAGCAACGCGCTGTGCCAGACCGTAGGTACTGACACGCGATCGTTCATGTCAGTTCATTTCCTTTAATGTTTTCTGTCTTTTATTTGCGCCTGATGCGTTTCGCTGCATGCTGTGGAGCGGGGCGCTGCGGGCATCACCTTGTCCTCCGATGCACTGATCACTGATACGGCCGCCAAACAGCAAGCGCTCCGCTGTTTTTGCGGTCGGTAGATCTTTTAGAACTGCAGTTCAAAGGTAACTCATGAGGTGAATATATATGAACCCAGGCAGCAGTTTTTCTTTAGGATTGAGAGGAGATGCAGGAAGATAATAAACAGACAGGACAGAAAAATAGTCAAATAAAAAGTTAGTTTTTGTACCTGCTGGTTGCAACAAACAGACACCATTGAAGGTCATCAGAAGTGAGGAACAGAAAATGAAATAATTATTTTAATGTTTAGAGCAGCAGGAACTCAGAGAGGCTGCAGGCGCATCAGTGAGTTTGCGGCTGCTGCGCAGGGGGAGGGGTGAGATGGCTGAAGCAGAAACTACCGTTGTTAAAAGAAATGTGTTTAACTTTGAAAATGTGGGCGCAATTTTAATTGTCAAAAACTCCAGCGAACCATTAGTTCATTTTGCTCAAATAGAAATAGAGGCCTGCCTCTAATACTGGCCCTCCTTCCAATAAAGGCCTGGAGCTTGATGAGCTTGAGTCAAATACAGGCCCGGGCCTGTATTAGAGGATTTACGGTAGATGGCTTTACATCAGTGTTGGGTTTAGAACTTTTATTGACAACAGCAGGAGAAGCTAGAAGTCAGGAACATGAACTCTACATGTGTTCAGTCATCATGTCCTCATATTGTTTCAAGCTGTGAAGGAGATGTGTGTGTTTCAGAATACGTTCTCATATGGTTGGACCAACAACTGTAGTGTGTGTGTTACACTGTCCGCATATTGTTGGGTAGCAGAACTGTACAGTGTTAATAGTTTCTATACAGTCTGATATAAGGAACTCAGATTCTTCTGTGAATAATATTCACTGAAACAAGTATGATCTGTAGTTAATTAACTAGTCAGGATTCATAGTACAGAATGTTTGACATTATATTGTTGTCTTTTGTTTCAGACGCCAAGTGTTGAGACCATGTCCCAACCTCCTACAGACCAAGAAGTGAGTGAAAAATTCATTTCATTCTTCCAACAGGTCACACATTATTTTTTGTATTTGAAATCAAGTATATGAGTCAGTTGGGCCTAGTGCATAAATGAAATGCACTTGGATTGTTTTAAAACAATCAGTTTGAGTGAAAGTTTCCCCAAATCAACATTTGCATTAGGAGAAAGAAATTGTCTATACCATTTGTTAGTCCAAGCTTTCCCTTTAAGCATTTGCTTGATCTTTATTCTGACTAAATTTAATATTTTTGTCCTTTTACACATTTTTGTCCATTTAACCTGAAGCTGATCAGTTAATATGATTGGATTTCTGGGGAAATAGATGGCTTTACATCAGTGTTGGGTTTAGAGCTTTTATTGACAACAGCAGGAGAAGCTAGAAGTCAGGAACATGAACACTACATGTGTTCAGTCGTCATGTCCTCATATTGTTTCAAGCTGTGAAGGAGATGTGTGTGTTTCAGAATACGTCCTCATATGGTTGGACCAACAACTGTAGTGTGGTTGTTACACTGTCCTCATATTGTTGGGTAGCAGAACTGTACAGTGTTAATAGTTTCTATACAGTCTGATATAAGGAACTCAGATTCTTCTGTGAATAATATTCACTGAAACAAGTATGATCTGTAGTTAATGAACTAGTCAGGATTCATAGTACAGAATGTTTCTGACATTATATTGTTGTCTTTTGTTGCAGACACCAAGTGTTGAGACCATGTCCCAAACTCCTACAGACCAAGAAGTGAGTGAAAAATCGGAAGAAAAGTTATGAGCCACCAAAGCTGTTTTTGGAAACCGGCCTTCAAGTGACACCACGCCCGGTGACCTTTGGGACATGGTTTGACCCCCTTAGGAATGTGCTATCATCATGAAACGTTCAGATCACTTACAACTCCATAGATTATACTTTCACGTGATGTTTCAGCCTGATTGGACCTTGTTTTCACACAAATGGACCCAGAAATATGTGAAATTGGGCTTTGTGCGACATAATTCTGGGTGCCATTTAAAAACCAGATCTGAGCTCTCTAGGACATTCAGAAGAAAAGTTATAAGCCCGCAAATGTGTGTTAGGAACCACGCCTTTAAAGAACAAGTGATCCGATGACCTTTGTGACATCATTTGACCCCATTAGGAATGAGCTATCATCATGAACCGTTGGAATCACTTCTAACTCAATAGATTCTACCTTCCTGTGATGTTTCAGCCTGATTGAAGCTTTTTTCAGAGAACTGGACCCAGAAATATGTGAAATTGTGGTTTGTGCGACATAATTCTGGGTGCCATTTAAAACCCATAAGTGGTAATGACTCCATTCCTTCTGTTCCAGATATAGACCATTAATTGGAGTATTTTAAAATCAACCTGACCTCTCTAGGATATTCTGAAGCCAAGTTATAAGCCCACAAAGGTGTAACCGGACACTACCTGACTATATCTACTTGGACATGCGTCCCGAAAGGGCCCTCGAAAAGGTCCGACGGCCGCAATTTCGACGTGTGTCGATGAGATGGTAGCCGGGATGCACCACAAAAAATTTCGTGCGGCTACGCCTGACTGAATTCAAGCGGCGGCCCGAAAGTGTTAAAATTTAGCTCAGGCTTTGTTTGCGGCCTTCTGCCACTTGAGACCCTTTTCGTCCGCCATTCAGCCCACGTTGGTCCGAGGCACCCGAAAATTCTTCTGGTGCATCCCACCACTAGCCCGAACCACAGATTTTGAATTTGTGCCGGTCGCATCGTGTAAAGCGTCCGTTTGGGGCCGGACGGCAGTGTTCCCTCCTTTTTTGTCATGTGCTCGGCAAAGTGGCATTTCTCAACCGATTTTAACAAAACAAACATTGATTTGGCATGCCGCCGTCACCCCGAGCTAGCCCAGGCAGTTTGGTAGCCGTAGCTCGTTGTTCCGGTGCTTTTCTGAACCCTAGGTCGCCAGAGGTCACGCTCTTTTTTGGCTACAGCTCCTCAAGCAAACGCCCAATCCGTCCCGTTTTTGGAGAGGTGGTCCCCGTGGTGCCAAGCAATCATAATCCGCTGTCAAAATTGAAAAGAAAAAAAAAGTCGCTTCAGAGTTAGGCCAAAAAATGTCCTCTGAGACGTAACGCCTCAAAGAGGACTTGTGTTTTGCTGTTACAAAGTGGAAAAAAAAAGTTCTGCTGGTGCCAGCGGCGCCATCTTCGGATATGTGGTTCGGGGGCCAAGCACTAGTCCACCCGAGGTGATTTGGTGGCAAAATATTTTGTGGTTCCGGAGATATAGCCCCCCAAAGCGCGCAATTTTTGCAAGTTTGCAAAGGCGCAATTCTAGCGCCGTGAGGGCTATCAAAAAGGCGAGTAGATTTTTGCTCTCGTACCGGACTTACAAACCAGAGAGTGAAATTTTTTTTGACTGCGCCCACTAGTGGCCGAACTCAGTCAGTGAGCGACGTAGCGTGACGCATTTTAGAAATTATGATTTGGCATGTCCTTCTTTACAACATATGTGAATTTCATGTCCCTACGTAGAAATAAACTATTTTTAATTAATTAAAAGCAACGGACAAAACCCTAGGCCCCAAATGAAGCCTGGCCAAGATTTGAGCCCCTTTTTGGCTGCCGTTCGGCCATCGTTGATCCGAGGCTCACGAAAATTTTTTTGTTTTACCCCAGTGCTGGTCCGAACCATAGATTTCAAATTTGTGTCGGTCGCATCGTGTTAAGCGTCCGTTTGGGGCCGGATGGCACTTTTCCCGCCTTTTTTGCCATGTGCTCGGCAAAGTGGCATTTCTCAACCGATTTTCACCAAACAAACGTCGATTTGGCACGCCGCCATCACCCCGAGCTAGCCCAGGCAGTTTGGTAGCCGTAGCTCATTGTTCTGGTGCTGTTCTGGGTCAGAGGTCAGAAAAAATGATGGATTTCAGCTGAAAAACAGGGTTCTCTTCAACCTACAGACTTGCAACTGATATGCTCCTTGACCTCACATGTCCAACATATGTTAATTTCAGACAGATTGGAGCTTGTATCACAGATATGCAACCAGAAATATGTGAAATTGTGCTTGGTGCAACATAATTCTGTGTCCCATTTTAAAACCATAAGAGCTAATAGGGGCTGTTAATTGGAGTAATTTAAAACCAAGCTGACCTCTCTAGGACATTCAGAAGCCAAGTTATAAGCCCCCAAAGCTGTTTTTGTAAGCAGGCCTTTAAGGCAGAAGTGATCCGGTGACATTTATGACATCATTTGACCCCATTAGGACTGAGCTATCATCATGAAACGTTGGAATCACTTATAACTCAATAGATTCTGCTTTCCTGTGATTTTTCAGCCTGATTGAAGATTTTTTCAGTGAACTGGACCCAGAATAATGTGAAATTGTGCTTGGGGCTATCATCATGAAACGTTCAGATCACTTACAACTCAATAGATCTTCATTCTTCCAACAGGTCACACATTATTTTTTGTATTTGGAATCAAGTATATGAGTCAGTTGGGCCTAGTGCATGAATGAAATGCACTTTGATTGTATTAAAACAATCAGTTTGAGTGAAAGTTTCCCCAAATCAACAAAAGCATTAAGAGAAAGAAATTGTCTATACCATTTGTTAGTCCAAACTTCCCCTTTAAGCATTTGCTTGATCTTTATTCTGTCTAAATTTAATATTTTTGCCCTTTTACACATGTTTTTGTCCATTTAACCTGAAGCTGATCAGTTTACATGATTGGATTTCTGGGGAAATAGATGGCTTTACATGAGTGTTGGGTTTAGAGCTTTTATTGACAACAGCAGATGTTAGAAGTCAGGAACATGAACTTTACATGTGTTCAGTCGTCATGTCCTCATATTGTTTCAAGCTGTGAAGGAGATGTGTGTGTTTCAGAATACGTCCTCATATGGTTGGACCAACAACTGTAGTGTGTGTGTTACACTGTCCTCATATTGTTGGGTAGCAGAACTGTACAGTGTTAATAGTTTCTATACAGTCTGATATAAGGAACTCAGATTCTTCTGTGAATTATATTCACTGAAATAAGAATGATCTGTAGCTAATGAACTAGTCAGGATTTACATTGTTGTCTTTTGTTTCAGACACCAAGTGTTGAGACCATGTCCCAACCTCCTACAGACCAAGAAGTGAGTGAAAAATTCACTTCATTCTTCCAACAGGTCACACATTAATTTTTGTATTTGAAATAAAGTATATGAGTCAGTTGGGCCTAGTGCATAAATGAAATGCACTTTGATTGTGTTAAAACAATCAGTTTGAGTGAAAGTTTCCCCAAATCAACATTAGCATTAGGAGAAAGAAATTGTCTATACCATTTGTTAGTCCAAACTTTCCCTTTAAGCATTTGCTTGATCTTTATTCTAACTAAATTTAATATTTTTGTCCTTTTACACATGTTTTTGTCCATTTAACCTGAAGCTGATCAGTTAATATGATTGGATTTCTGGGGAAATAGATGGCTTTACATCAGTGTTGGGTTTAGAGCTTTTATTGACAACAGCAGGAGAAGCTAGAAGTCAGGAACATGAACACTACATGTGTTCAGTCGTCATGTCCTCATATTGTTTCAAGCTGTGAAGGAGATGTGTGTGTTTCAGAATACGTCCTCATATGGTTGGACCAACAACTGTAGTGTGTGTGTTACACTGTCCTCATATTGTTGGGTAGCAGAACTGTACAGTGTTAATAGTTTCTATACAGTCTGATATAAGGAACTCAGATTCTTCTGTGAATAATATTCACTGAAACAAGTATGATCTGTAGTTAATGAACTAGTCAGGATTCATAGTACAGAATGTTTCTGACATTATATTGTTGTCTTTTGTTGCAGACACCAAGTGTTGAGACCATGTCCCAAACTCCTACAGACCAAGAAGTGAGTGAAAAATCGGAAGAAAAGTTATGAGCCACCAAAGCTGTTTTTGGAAACCGGCCTTCAAGTGACACCACGCCCGGTGACCTTTGGGACATGGTTTGACCCCCTTAGGAATGTGCTATCATCATGAAACGTTCAGATCACTTACAACTCCATAGATTATACTTTCACGTGATGTTTCAGCCTGATTGGACCTTGTTTTCACACAAATGGACCCAGAAATATGTGAAATTGGGCTTTGTGCGACATAATTCTGGGTGCCATTTAAAAACCAGATCTGAGCTCTCTAGGACATTCAGAAGAAAAGTTATAAGCCCGCAAATGTGTGTTAGGAACCACGCCTTTAAAGAACAAGTGATCCGATGACCTTTGTGACATCATTTGACCCCATTAGGAATGAGCTATCATCATGAACCGTTGGAATCACTTCTAACTCAATAGATTCTACCTTCCTGTGATGTTTCAGCCTGATTGAAGCTTTTTTCAGAGAACTGGACCCAGAAATATGTGAAATTGTGGTTTGTGCGACATAATTCTGGGTGCCATTTAAAACCCATAAGTGGTAATGACTCCATTCCTTCTGTTCCAGATATAGACCATTAATTGGAGTATTTTAAAATCAACCTGACCTCTCTAGGATATTCTGAAGCCAAGTTATAATCCCACAAAGGTGTAACCGGACACTACCTGACGATTTCTACTTGGAAATGCGTCCCGAAAGGGCCCTCGAAAAGGTCCGACGGCCGCAATTTCGACGTGTGTCGATGAGATGGTAGCCGGGATGCACCACAAAAAATTTCGTGCGGCTACGCCTGACTGAATTCAAACGGCGGCCCGAAAGTGTTAAAATTTAGCTCAGGCTTTGTTTGCGGCCTTCTGCCACTTGAGACCCTTTTCGTCCGCCATTCAGCCCACGTTGGTCCGAGGCACCCGAAAATTCTTCTGGTGCATCCCACCACTAGCCCGAACCACAGATTTTGAATTTGTGCCGGTCGCATCGTGTAAAGCGTCCGTTTGGGGCCGGACGGCAGTGTTCCCTCCTTTTTTGTCATGTGCTCGGCAAAGTGGCATTTCTCAACCGATTTTAACAAAACAAACATTGATTTGGCATGCCGCCGTCACCCCGAGCTAGCCCAGGCAGTTTGGTAGCCGTAGCTCGTTGTTCCGGTGCTTTTCTGAACCCTAGGTCGCCAGAGGTCACGCTCTTTTTTGGCCACAGCTCCTCAAGCAAACGCCCAATCCGTCCCGTTTTTGGAGAGGTGGTCCCCGTGGTGCCAAGCAATCATAATCCGCTGTCAAAATTGAAAAGAAAAAAAAAGTCGCTTCAGAGTTAGGCCAAAAAATGTCCTCTGAGACGTAACGCCTCAAAGAGGACTTGTGTTTTGCTGTTACAAAGTGGAAAAAAAAAGTTCTGCTGGTGCCAGCGGCGCCATCTTCGGACATGTGGTTCGGGGGCCAAGCACTAGTCCACCCGAGGTGATTTGGTGGCAAAATATTTTGTGGTTCCGGAGATATAGCCCCCCAAAGCGCGCAATTTTTGCAAGTTTGCAATGGTGCAATTCTAGCGCCGTGAGGGCTATCAAAAAGGCGAGTAGATTTTTGCTCTCGTACCGGACTTCCGAACCAGAGAGTGACATTTTTTTTGACTGCGCCCACTAGTGGCCGAACTCGGTCAGTGAGCGACGTAGCGTGACGCATTTTAGAAATTATGATTTGGCATGTCCTTCTTTACAACATATGTGAATTTCATGTCCCTACGTAGAAATAAACTATTTTTAATTAATTAAAAGCAACGGACAAAACCCTAGGCCCCAAATGAAGCCTGGCCAAGATTTGAGCCCCTTTTTGGCTGCCGTTCGGCCATCGTTGATCCGAGGTTCACGAAAATTTTTTTGTTTTACCCCAGTGCTGGTCCGAACCATAGATTTCAAATTTGTGTCGGTCGCATCGTGTTAAGCGTCCGTTTGGGGCCGGATGGCACTTTTCCCGCCTTTTTTGCCATGTGCTCGGCAAAGTGGCATTTCTCAACCAATTTTCACCAAACAAACGTCGATTTGGCACGCCGCCATCACCCCGAGCTAGCCCAGGCAGTTTGGTAGCCGTAGCTCATTGTTCTGGTGCTGTTCTGGGTCAGAGGTCAGAAAAAATGATGGATTTCAGCTGAAAAACAGGGTTCTCTTCAACCTACAGACTTGCAACTGATATGCTCCTTGACCTCACATGTCCAACATATGTTAATTTCAGACAGATTGGAGCTTGTATCACAGATATGCAACCAAAAATATGTGAAATTGTGCTTGGTGCAACATAATTCTGTGTCCCATTTTAAAACCATAAGAGCTAATAGGGGCTGTTAATTGGAGTAATTTAAAACCAAGCTGACCTCTCTAGGACATTCAGAAGCCAAGTTATAAGCCCCCAAAGCTGTTTTTGTAAGCAGGCCTTTAAGGCAGAAGTGATCCGGTGACATTTATGACATCATTTGACCCCATTAGGACTGAGCTATCATCATGAAACGTTGGAATCACTTATAACTCAATAGATTCTGCTTTCCTGTGATTTTTCAGCCTGATTGAAGATTTTTTCAGTGAACTGGACCCAGAATAATGTGAAATTGTGCTTGGGGCTATCATCATGAAACGTTCAGATCACTTACAACTCAATAGATCTTCATTCTTCCAACAGGTCACACATTATTTTTTGTATTTGGAATCAAGTATATGAGTCAGTTGGGCCTAGTGCATGAATGAAATGCACTTTGATTGTATTAAAACAATCAGTTTGAGTGAAAGTTTCCCCAAATCAACAAAAGCATTAAGAGAAAGAAATTGTCTATACCATTTGTTAGTCCAAACTTCCCCTTTAAGTTTTTGCTTGATCTTTATTCTGTCTAAATTTAATATTTTTGCCCTTTTACACATGTTTTTGTCCATTTAACCTGAAGCTGATCAGTTTACATGATTGGATTTCTGGGGAAATAGATGGCTTTACATGAGTGTTGAGTTTAGAGCTTTAATTGACAACAGCAGATGTTAGAAGTCTGGAACATGAACTTTACATGTGTTCAGTCGTCATGTCCTCATATTGTTTCAAGCTGTGAAGGAGATGTGTGTGTTTCAGAATACGTCCTCATATGGTTGGACCAACAACTGTAGTGTGTGTGTTACACTGTCCTCATATTGTTGGGTAGCAGAACTGTACAGTGTTAATAGTTTCTATACAGTCTGATATAAGGAACTCAGATTCTTCTGTGAATTATATTCACTGAAATAAGAATGATCTGTAGCTAATGAACTAGTCAGGATTTACATTGTTGTCTTTTGTTTCAGACACCAAGTGTTGAGACCATGTCCCAACCTCCTACAGACCAAGAAGTGAGTGAAAAATTCACTTCATTCTTCCAACAGGTCACACATTAATTTTTGTATTTGAAATAAAGTATATGAGTCAGTTGGGCCTAGTGCATAAATGAAATGCACTTTGATTGTGTTAAAACAATCAGTTTGAGTGAAAGTTTCCCCAAATCAACATTAGCATTAGGAGAAAGAAATTGTCTATACCATTTGTTAGTCCAAACTTTCCCTTTAAGCATTTGCTTGATCTTTATTCTAACTAAATTTAATATTTTTGTCCTTTTACACATGTTTTTGTCCATTTAACCTGAAGCTGATCAGTTAATATGATTGGATTTCTGGGGAAATAGATGGCTTTATGTCAGTGTTGGGTTTAGAGCTTTTATTGACAACAGCAGGAGAAGCTAGAAGTCAGGAACATGAACTCTACATGTGTTCAGTTGTCATGTCCTCATAATTATTCAAGCTGTAAAGGAGATGTGTGTGTTTCAGAATACATCCTCATATGGTTGGACCAACAACTGTAGTGTGTGTGTGTTACACTGTCCTCATATTGTTGGGTAGCAGAACTGTACAGTGTTATTAGTTTCTATACAGTCTGATATAAGGAACTCAGATTCTTCTGTGAATAATGTTCACTGAAACAAGTATGATCTGTAGCTAATGAACTAGTCAGGATTTACATTGTTGTCTTTTGTTTCAGACACCAAGTGTTGAGACCATGTCCCAACCTCCTACAGACCAAGAAGTGAGTGAAAAATCCATTTCATTCTTCCAACAGGTCACACATTATTTTTTGTATTTGAAATCAAGTATATGAGTCAGTTGGGCCTAGTGCATAAATGAAATGCACTTTGATTGTTTTAAAACAATCAGTTTGATTGAAAGTTTCCCCAAATCAACATTTGCATTAGGAGAAAGAAATTATCTATACCATTTGTTAGTCCAAACTTTCCCTTTAAGCGTTTGCTTGATCTTTATTCTGACTAAATTTAATATTTTTGTCTTTTTACACATGTTTTTGTCCATTTAACCTGAAGCTGATCAGTTAACATGATTGGATTTCTGGGGAAATAGATGGCTTTACATCAGTGTTGGGTTTAGAGCTTTTATTGACAACAGCAGGAGAAGCTAGAAGTCAGGAACATGAACTCTACATGTCTTCAGTCGTCATGTCCTGATATGGTTTCAAGCTGTGAAGGAGATGTGTGTTTCAGAATACGTCCTCATATGGTTGGACCAACAACTGTAGTGTGTGTGTTACACTGTCCTCATATTGTTGGGTAGCAGAACTGTACAGTGTTAATAGTTTCTATACAGTCTGATATAAGGAACTCAGATTCTTCTGTGAATAATATTCACTGAAACAAGTATTATCTGTAGTTAATGAACTAGTCAGGATTCATAGTACAGAATGTTTCTGACATTATATTGTTGTCTTTTGTTGCAGACACCAAGTGTTGAGACCATGTCCCAAACTCCTACAGACCAAGAAGTGAGTGAAAAATCCACTTCATTCTTCCAACAGGTCACACATTAATTTTTGTGTTTGGAATCAAGTATATGAGTCAGTTGGGCCTAGTGCATAAATGAAATGCACTTTGATTGTATTAAAACAATCAGTTTGATTGAAAGTTTCCCCAAATCAACATTTGCATTAGGAGAAAGAAATTATCTATACCATTTGTTAGTCCAAACTTTCCCTTTAAGCATTTGCTTGATCTTTATTCTGACTAAATTTAATATTTTTGACTTTTTACACATGTTTTTGTCCATTTAACCTGAAGCTGATCAGTTAATATGATTGGATTTTTGGGGAAATAGATGGCTTTACATCAGTGTTGGGTTTAGAGCTTTTATTGACAACAGCAGGAGAAGCTAGAAGTCAGGAACATGAACTCTACATGTGTTCAGTCGTCATGTCCTCATATTGATTCAAGCTGTAAAGGAGATGTGTGTGTTTCAGAATACATCCTCATATGGTTGGACCAACAACTGTAGTGTGTGTGTGTTACACTGTCCTCATATTGTTGGGTAGCAGAACTGTACAGTGTTATTAGTTTCTATACAGTCTGATATAAGGAACTCAGATTCTTCTGTGAATAATGTTCACTGAAACAAGTATGATCTGTAGCTAATGAACTAGTCAGGATTTACATTGTTGTCTTTTGTTTCAGACACCAAGTGTTGAGACCATGTCCCAACCTCCTACAGACCAAGAAGTGAGTGAAAATTCACTTCATTCCTCCAACAGGTCACACATTAGTTTTTGTATTTGAAATCGAGTATATGAGTCAGTTGGGCCTAGTGCATAAATGAAATGCACTTTGATTGTTTTAAAACAATCAGTTTGAGTGAAAGTTTCCCCAAATCAACATTAGCATTAGGAGAAAGAAATTGTCTATACCATTTGTTAGTCCAAACTTTCCCTTTAAGCATTTGCTTGATATTTGTTCTGACTAAGTTTAATATTTTTGTCCTTTTACACATGTTTTTGTCCATTTAACCTGAAGCTTATCAGTTAATATGATTGGATTTCTGGGGAAATAGATGGCTTTACATCAGTGTTGGGTTTAGAGCTTTTATTGACAACAACAGGAGAAGCTAGAAGTCAGGAACATGAACTCTACATGTGTTCAGTCGTCATGTCCTCATATTGTTTCAAGCTGTGAAGGAGATGTGTGTTTCAGAATACGTCCTCATATGGTTGGACCAACAACTGTAGTGTGTGTGTTACACTGTCCTCATATTGTTGGGCAGCAGAACTGTACAGTGTTAATAGTTTCTATACAGTCTGATATGAGGAACTCAGATTCTTCTGTGAATTATATTCACTGAAACAAGTATGATCTGTAGTTAATGAACTAGTCAGGATTTACATTGTTGTCTTTTGTTTCAGACACCAAGTGTTGAGACCATGTCCCAACCTCCTACAGACCAAGAAGTGAGTGAAAAATCCATTTCATTCTTCCAACAGGTCACACATTATTTTTTGTATTTGAAATCAAGTATATGAGTCAGTTGGGCCTAGTGCATAAATGAAATGCACTTTGATTGTTTTAAAACAATCAGTTTGATTGAAAGTTTCCCCAAATCAACATTTGCATTAGGAGAAAGAAATTATCTATACCATTTGTTAGTCCAAACTTTCCCTTTAAGCGTTTGCTTGATCTTTATTCTGACTAAATTTAATATTTTTGTCTTTTTACACATGTTTTTGTCCATTTAACCTGAAGCTGATCAGTTAACATGATTGGATTTCTGGGGAAATAGATGGCTTTACATCAGTGTTGGGTTTAGAGCTTTTATTGACAACAGCAGGAGAAGCTAGAAGTCAGGAACATGAACTCTACATGTGTTCAGTCGTCATGTCCTTATATGGTTTCAAGCTGTGAAAGAGATGTGTGTTTCAGAATACGTCCTCATATGGTTGGACCAACAACTGTAGTGTGTGTGTTACACTGTCCTCATATTGTTGGGTAGCAGAACTGTACAGTGTTAATAGTTTCTATACAGTCTGATATAAGGAACTCAGATTCTTCTGTGAATAATATTCACTGAAACAAGTATTATCTGTAGTTAATGAACTAGTCAGGATTCATAGTACAGAATTTTTCTGACATTATATTGTTGTCTTTTGTTGCAGACACCAAGTGTTGAGACCATGTCCCAAACTCCTACAGACCAAGAAGTGAGTGAAAAATCCACTTCATTCTTCCAACAGGTCACACATTAATTTTTGTGTTTGGAATCAAGTATATGAGTCAGTTGGGCCTAGTGCATAAATGAAATGCACTTTGATTGTATTAAAACAATCAGTTTGATTGAAAGTTTCCCCAAATCAACATTTGCATTAGGAGAAAGAAATTATCTCTACCATTTTTTAGTCCAAACTTTCCCTTTAATCATTTGCTTGATCTTTATTCTGACTAAATTTAATATTTTTTACTTTTTACACATGTTTTTGTCCATTTAACCTGAAGCTGATCAGTTAATATGATTGGATTTTTGGGGAAATAGATGGCTTTACATCAGTGTTGGGTTTAGAGCTTTTATTGACAACAGCAGAAGCTAGAAGACAGGAACATGAACTCTACATGTGTTCAGTCGTCATGTCCTCATATTGTTTCAAGCTGTGAAGGAGATGTGTGTTTCAGAATACGTCCTTATATGGTTGGACCAACAACTGTAGTGTGTGTGTTACACTGTCCTCATATTGTTGGGTAGCAGAACTGTACAGTGTTAATAGTTTCTATACAGTCTGATATAAGGAACTCAGATTCTTCTGTGAATTATATTCACTGAAACAAGTATGATCTGTAGTTAATGAACTAGTCAGGATTTACATTGTTGTCTTTTGTTTCAGACACCAAGTGTTGAGACCATGTCCCAACCTCCTACAGACCAAGAAGTGAGTGAAAATTCACTCCATTCTTCCAACAGGTCACACATTAGTTTTTGTATTTGAAATCAAGTATATGAGTCAGTTGGGCCTAGTGCATAAATTAAATGCACTTTGATTGTTTTAAAACAATCAGTTTGAGTGAAAGTTTCCCCAAATCAACATTAGCATTAGGAGAAAGAAATTGTCTATACCATTTGTTAGTCCAAACTTTCCTTTTAAGCATTTACTTGATATTTGTTCTGACTAAGTTTAATATTTTTGTCCTTTTACACATGTTTTTGTCCATTTAACCTGAAGCTGATCAGTTAATATGATTGGATTTCTGGGGAAATAGATGGCTTAACATCAGTGTTGGGTTTAGAGCTTTTATTGACAACAACAGGAGAAGCTAGAAGTCAGGAACATGAACTCTACATGTGTTCAGTCGTCATGTCCTCATATTGTTTCAAGCTGTGAAGGAGATGTGTGTTTCAGAATACGTCCTCATATGGTTGGACCAACAACTGTAGTGTGTGTGTTACACTGTCCTCATATTGTTGGGTAGCAGAACTGTACAGTGTTAATAGTTTCTATACAGTCTGATATGAGGAACTCAGATTCTTCTGTGAATTATATTCACTGAAACAAGTATGATCTGTAGTTAATGAACTAGTCAGGATTTACATTGTTGTCTTTTGTTTCAGACACCAAGTGTTGAGACCATGTCCCAACCTCCTACAGACCAAGAAGTGAGTGAAAAATCCATTTCATTCTTCCAACAGGTCACACATTAATTTTTGTGTTTGAAATCAAGTATATGAGTCAGTTGGGCCTAGTGCATAAATGAAATGCACTTTGATTGTTTTAAAACAATCAGTTTGATTGAAAGTTTCCCCAAATCAACATTAGCATTAGGAGAAAGAAATTATCTATACCATTTGTTAGTCCAAACTTTCCCTTTAAGCGTTTGCTTGATCTTTATTCCGACTAAATTTAATATTTTTGTCTTTTTACACATGTTTTTGTCCATTTAACCTGAAGCTGATCAGTAAATATGATTGGATTTCTGGGGAAATAGATGGCTTTACGTCAGTGTTGGGTTTAGAGCTTTTATTGACAACAGCAGGAGAAGCTAGAAGTAAGGAACATGAACTCTACATGTGTTCAGTCGTCATGTCCTCATATTGTTTCAAGCTGTGAAGGAGATGTGTGTTTCAGAATACGTCCTCATATGATTGGACCAACAACTGTAGTGTGTGTGTTACACTGTCCTCATATTGTTGGGTAGCAGAACTGTACAGTGTTAATAGTTTCTATACAGTCTGATATAAGGAACTCAGATTCTTCTGCGAATTATATTCACTGAAACAAGTATGATCTGTAGTTAATCAACTAGTCAGGATTTACATTGTTGTCTTTTGTTTCAGACACCAAGTGTTGAGACCATGTCCCAAACTCCTACAGACCAAGAAGTGAGTGAAAAATCTACTTCATTCTTCCAACAGGTCACACATTAATTTTTGTGTTTGGAATCAAGTAGATGAGTCAGTTGGGCCTAGTGCATAAATGAAATGCACTTTGATTGTATTAAAACAATCAGTTTGATTGAAAGTTTCCCCAAATCAACATTTGCATTAGGAGAAAGAAATTATCTATACCATTTGTTAGTCCAAACTTTCCCTTTAAGCATTT